GGGACCGGGACCGGCGGCCCATAACCGGTTATAAAGTACCTATACTGGTCCTATCATTTTCGACCGGGACCGGTTACGCCGGGACCGGTTATGGCCGGTTATGAGAATGGTGAGGACCGATTGGGACCGGCCCGGGACCGGTTTTTGGCCATCTCTACTTCCGGTACTACTTCTACTCTTAAGGTTCTTTCGAGTTATCTCCAACATGTATTTGATTTTTGTTTACTTATGCCGTTTGCGCTAATTTGATCATCAATTATGTTGTTCATCAGTGAGAAAAATATGGTGTTCCTTGCGATTTTTGCTTGTTATTTAGGAAATACTAGATCAAATACGTGTTTATAATCTCAAAACAGATCTATAAAGTGATTGAAATCGAAGCAACACCGTTCACAGAGAAAAGAGCTGCAATTTGGTTGGATTAACTTCAAATTTGATATGATTTTAAGCTTTTTGAGAAAAAGTGCCATGGAATTCGTAATGAGGAATACGTACGGTGTAATGTTGATCTTAAATGCCGCCTCTGGAGGCTGATGGGTACAGACACCAGTCGGATGCACCTTTAAGGTGGATGAGATCCCCACAAAGTTGTCTAATGTGTTTTTTTACCTGAACTTTACCATTTCAATGGGATTTTTTAAAGTTATTTGGTTGATTTTGTGGGACTTCCCTGCCATGAGAATTGCAACAACTGTTTGGGGATGTCCCGTGAAAATCAATTCCAGTTCTTTGGTTGATTTCGTGACACTTTTTGGGTTTTTGGTTGATTTCATGAGATTTTTTTTCGGTTTTTTGGTTGATGTTTCCTTGCATCTTCTAATCCTGGAACGCCCATCAAAGTTTAGCCGGCTCGAGGCTTAATAAGTCCAACCCTGACAGACAAGAGACACCCTAGAGTTTCAACTCTTGGATACATTGCCCCATAGGTGCACTCTGATACCATGTGTAAATTTGTGAAACCCCATTAGTTTACTCTATAAAAGAGCCATTTAGGAGAAAATGAGGGTTTCAACATATATAGATGAGAAATGGTCCAAGTCTAGCTTATGTTGGATTGACTGACGGGTTTTCCGTGGGACTTATAGCGCCCAATGATTTATGAAAGTTGTTTATGTAAATTCACCTGCCTTTTCTTTAATAAAAACATGCCCAAATATGCACAATGGAGAATCGATGTGAAGATGTGTCATTTCTTCGAGTCTAATGCGTCTATAAATTGGAAGTTACAGTCGGATATAGTTTAAATGATGGAACCTTATGTTTTTGTTTTTCTTTGCAGCCGACTGTTCTCTACATTCTTGGAGATGTCATCCCTAAGGAATGTCGTTCACAAACGGGATCACAATGAAAGAGCTCAACCGTGAGCGCCTATAGCTCTTTGAACCCATAAATCTCCCTTTTTTTGCATTCTTGCATTTCTTACATGCCGACTTGCTTTCAGGAAAAAGAGGAAAAGATTTGGGCTTCTTGAGAAACACAAGGACTATGTAGTTCGTGCAAATAGGCATGACAATGGGACGGGGATGATAAGGTAAAGGACATTCAATAAGCACTTACTAGTAAAAGTCTGATAAATGGCCCCTAAGATTTTATCGTCTTTGTAAGGCATGTTGTGATGAGAGGGGAATCACTCATTTAATGGAATTTATATTATAAAACGTAGCAGAGATCAAATCAAACAAACCTGATATATTTCTATACAAACTACTCAATTCTATAACGTGAGGCTTGCTTTCACAAACCTCATTCATTTGCAATTTTGAAGGCAACATGTTGGAATTCGATATTTTTAGCAAACTTCCGTCAGGTTCTTGAGAAAACGCGATAATTGAACTCCTCAAGAAGCCGCACATAAGGCCCCTGAAAAAATTGAGCATTTATTAAGAAATTGTTAAGAGTATTTCCAATTGCTATATTATTTTAAATTAGAAGGGTACTCGTACAATGCAACGAGATACATCTTCATTTTAATGTTTCGTTTTATTTTTTGTATATGTTGATATAATACGGTTATATGGTTTTGAGAAAGATAATGTTTTTACTTTTGAAGGGGGAGTCTTAGAGTCACACATCTGCCATACTTGAATTATTTCTCCTCAAACTACGCTGAAAACTCCCTTATCTCCTCAAAACTCTTTTAGAGAGTAATTTAATGGAGATCAACATATTTTCACATGCTATCATAACCATGTCTACCGCTCTAAAAGACTCGACATTTTGTGACAATTTGTGCCCGTATAGCCTCCATTGGAGGGGGAGTGTTGGAGTCCCACATCAGCTAAACTTGGACCATTTCTCTTGAAAATATGTTGATTATCTCAAGGGCTCTTTTGGAAAGTAATCTAATGGAGATCCACATATTCTCACATGATTTCAGAACCAATGTCTACCACTCTAAAGGATTCGACACTCTTTGACAATTTGTGTCCTTCTAGCCTCCGATAAAGGTTGAGTGTTGGAGTCCTATATTAGCTGGACTTGGACCATTTCTCCTCAAAATATGTTGAAACCTCCCTTCTATCCTCAAGGGATCTTTTGGATAGTAATCTAATAGGGATAGTAATCTAATAGGGATCCACATATTCTCACATGGTATCAAAACCAATGTCTACAATTCTAAAGGACTCGACGCTCCTTGACTATTTGTGTCTGTCTAGCGTCCGTTGGAGGGGGAATGCTGGAATTCCACATCGGTTGGACTTGGACTGTTTCTCCTCAAAATATGTTGAAATCTCACTTATCTCCTCAAGGGCTCTTTTGGAGAGTAATCTAAATCCAAATAATCTCACATGGTATCAGAGCCAATGTCTACCACTCAAAAGGACTCGACACTCCATCTCCTTAAGGGCTCTTTTGGAAAGTAATCTAACAGGTTTCCATATATTCTCACAACCAATACCCATTAGAAGAGTTGAATGTAACCACAAGGGTTGTGGCGTAGTGGCCGAGGTCCCGGGAGATGTGGTAGAATATCCCATCTGCCCAGGGTTCGATTCTGGGCATACACAACAACTGTGGCTACTGAATTTATCGGGGCTGATTTCTTGCAGTCACAATTTGTCGGGATTAGTCCAGGAGTAGCCTGGGACACCCTTCCAAACAAGAACAGTTGAATGTGGTGCATGTGTGAACAGACCTATGCCCAACTAGTTTGGGAAAGCTAAATGAGACTTGTTAAAAATGGTGTTAAGAGGAAAAACCTGAAGACCAAGATGAGCAACAAAACTTCCCTTCATCAACATGCTTCACATCAAGGCCAATCAACCATGATCCGACGCTGACATCGTCATGGGCATATGAACGAAGTATCAACCTAGCAAGCAGAGGATAAAACGATTAAATTCGTCTAGTTGTATTCATTGCTCAGAAAAGATTACGGCACATGATGCAAAAGAAACGATCAAAAACGAACAAAAGCAAGTGCTAACTTGTTAATTGAGATAAACTGAGCCAAGGCTTGTGATACGGCAAATATTTCCCCAGAAGCATGTCGGAAATATCTGCATGTAGAAACAAGTTTGATTGATCAGTAACGATACACACACATGAATGAGTCTAATACCGAAAACATCACAAAATTTGCAGTGATGCAAGATGCCGGAAGATGCACGGTTCATAATGATATTCTTCTTATGTGTAAACTTGTTTGTATCGTGTGGAAGGTAAGATGCATGTAGAAGCTATGAGAAACATAGGATCTAGAGGGTGTGTTTGATATGCAAGACAAGACGAGACATGACATAACAAAAAAAAAACTTTTTGTTCCACGTTTGGCGTGACATTAGACTCGGGTAGGACGGGACTGAGTGGGACAGAAATGCATTTTTTTTGTCCCACCAAAATAGGTGGAACATAAATCAGGGAGATGATACAAGATTAGTAAATTGCTAAACTACCCATGTGAAATTAGAACCCTAAAACCTTCCACAAATCTCACCCACCTATGTCACTCTCGCTTGTCCAGTCCCGTCCAGAAAAGTGCAAATCTTGAGAAAAACTATTAAAGATTTTGTTAATTGAGTCCATGACACTGGTCAACCAATTTCACCTTCTCAATTTCCTCATCTAAAGAATTGCCTTCTGCTAGATGATATATTTCATTATGTGGAAGATTAATTACTGGAAATGCTAAAACTCCGACTTATCAAATTTCGTAAGTGACACCTGAGGTGCTTCTTTACATAAGCTAATAAAAATCGGACTCTTAAAGCAGTTAGTAGCAGTGACAGCTAAGGCTATGTTTAGCAAACCAGCTAATAAGCTAGTTGTTAACTGAAAAGCTAGTTGTTAACCAAAAAGCTAGCTGATAAACTGGTCATTGGTAAAAACTAGCTGATAAAGCTAGCCACGTTTGGTAAAACTAGCTGAAAATGTTCTTTATATAAAGGGTCATCTAAATTAACTGCTATCATCGGAAGAAGAGCTACAAAGAATCATGGGAACTTACGATTTTCTATCCCCGAATTTCCACCACTCTGGTTCATACCATTTGTCGGTCCTGCAAAATGTAAGAGGACAGGAAACTAATAAAATTCTAATCTCAGGTGAAAGGATGCATGAAAATGATACCAGATAAAGCTCTTTAACTAACTCACGGCTTGGAGAAAACACCGCCAGATTTCATACACCCAATATAGGCACGAGGCTTATCCACGTGGTTTGAAAGAATAGCACCAAGGGCATCTGCATAGCAAATGACAATTAAAGCTATAAGCATAACCTCAGAATTTCTTAACTAAATCTCATAGTTAAGGAATGAGGAATAACATAAATACTGCTTTAGTAACAACCGATGCAGTCCTGTTAAGCATGGTGAGTTATAAGAATTCCGGACAAACTGTGTCTTTTATTGCATCAACATGGAACAATTTCATTGAGAATAAGATTACGAAAACATCTGCTTTCATTGTTTACAGATATGTTTCTTAAAGGAAATAAGAGCCAAATTACAATTTCTCATGATACATAAACACCCCCCCCCCCCCCC